ATACGTATACGTTGCGATATTATTATAAAACATACGAGTGAATGTATATGTGCGTGGGTGTATCCGTGTCTCATCTGCCGCATATTTTAGACATAGATTCTTCAGTAAATTTGCTACTCTCAAATGTTTTCTATAATGTTATATATACATACAAATTGTTTGTTTTTCTGCAAATTTATAGAATATTTTTACACTTGTAAGATACAAACATCTATTGGAGCATTTTATTTATCTGTCGGCATGTAATATTACGAGTAAAAGATTAAAGGCAGCATAAATACTTCAATCATATATACATATATAGTATGTGTGTATTTTATACACAAGTATAAAAAAAGTACACTTTGATATATTTTGACTGAAAGAATTCATCAATTACTATGGAATATCTGAGTTAGCAAACTTAATTAAGATAGCATTCCCTCCTTAAAATAAAGTTGGAATAAAACAATTAGTAATGATGAAATTGTGTCTGCAATGCATATGATCATGCTTAGAATCTAATATTGTTTTAGCAAAAGGTATCTGCCATAATGGAATTATAGTGCACGTGAAATCTTGTTCGTACTTGCACCTGTTTTATTAGAACAGAAGAGAAATTGAAATCATTACAGTTACACACAAACCTTAAAAACCTTAAAAACCTTAAAAATGTCAATTTGTATGTCAATATTCCATCTATAATGTCATATATTTGTGATCATATATTTGTGACAGAAAGAAAGGGGAAAAGAAGAAGAAGAGAAATTAAGATGAACGGTAAACACTACGTACGATGTGCTTGTCGCATACATGAAGTTACGTGATACTAAAGCGCACATATCAATTGATGATTAGAAATCTTGTGATCTGATTTTCTGCCAGTAAATGCAAACCACAGACAGGATGGTAACCAGGACAGTACATGGACAAGAGCAGGTAAACAATCTCACAAGATTTTTCATTATTTACATAAAATGGAAAAATGTTAATGACTTACCCCCCTATTGTTTGAAGTTTAGTGGACTCGAGTTGACGCGCTGCTTCTTCTGTTCTCTTCAATAGCAAAACCTGCGAAATATTGGTAAAAAGAACCGAAAAATTATAATTAAATCGTAAAAAAAAGATAATTAAATAGTATAGATAAATGCAAAGAGAACTTTTAACATTTGTTTGTAGTTGAGCAAATTATTCAAATTCACTTGTAAAGAATTTTGCTCAACATGAGCGTAAATGTACCTTTTGCGATAAGTTTCTAAAGTGCATTTCTTGGAGCATGCTACTGTGACGATGTATATTTTCATGACGGGAGATGGCCAGCAGTACTCCTCGTTCAGGCACATATCGGCACACTGCCGCCCCTATCGCCTTTTGAAATTCCTTATGCGCATTGTCCATCTTTGCACTGCAATACAACACACACACACTTGACTACTTGTTTCTTCTCTTTAATAATATTAAGCTAAATTTAAAAGAAAAGCAACTATCTACAATTGTACATGTAGAAATAAATGTACGCTCTTACTTACAATTCTCTGAGCTCTTCAGGTACTTCAATTTCGATCTTGTGAAATGTGTTTTTGTCAATAGGGGAATTTGGATTTTTAGCTCTCAGTCGCTCACTAGCTACAATTTCGGTATACGTGTAGTCCCATCCCAAGTATTCGACTACTTGAAAACCTCCTTTACTCATCTGAAGAATCATACAATCGAATGCATTTTCGCACAACTCTCCAAGTATTCTTTTACCTACCTTGATAAGTGCTTTCCACCAGCCCCATGCCTCTTGATCATTAGCTCTAGAGAATACTTCAATCTCCTGGTTCTCTTGAAATTCTGCCTTGGAACCATCTTTTGGAGGTAGACGGACTTGAGCAAATGGAAATTTGGACTCGGGTTGCCAGCTGGAATGCGTATTCAACATTATGCATTTTTTCCCTATCTGTACGTTGCAAAGTACGTTACAAACCCTCTGGTAAATGTATGTAAAGCAGAAAGATTTTGCAACGTTTATGATTAATACTGAATAATGAAGTTTCTTACTGTACAGATTATGTTATATTAGGTATTTCGTATCAATATAGAGTAAAACTGTACAGATTTTTAGCTTCTCGATGGCTCCCATGTCCTTGAACAATACCGACATGGCTCGAGTATGGAACTTAAGTATAGCATATATGTGTGTTTACAGTGGTAAACTTTCCAAAAGATTGCGTGGTTTTTAGTATTCCGCGACGAGAAAGTAAGAAATAGCAAGTAAAAATCAAAGTAAAGATATGTAATGGAGCTTCTGCAGATGCGATACATGGTTGGTGTCGTGTCGAGAGAGTTGCAATAGAAATACTCTTCTTGTGGCGCAAGTCGAAAGAGAGAGAGAGAGAGAGAGAGACAGAGAGAGAGAGCGAGAGAGAGAGAGAGAGAAACTTACTCATTCTCGAAAGTTACCAAAACTTCGTCGTCAAAGACATCGGTGACAAAGGCCTGAAAAAGAGTAAAGTAGAAAAGATAATGATGGAGAAATGACGAGGAGCGCAGGCTAGTCTCGAATGTAAAATGATGACTGGTCGGAGCGAAGGGGCAAGACGGGTGGTGAGGTGGAAGGAGTTGGCGGAGAGGGCATCCGCGCGTGCATTTACGGGTGCGCGTGTCGTGAATTTGGAATATCGCTAACGAGGCTTCGGAGCGCTTTCACCTCGGGCACCGCGGGCGCAGGTGCGCGAGGACGCGAGCCAAGGGAAAATCACGCCCTGTCAAACGAGACATGGCGTCGAGGGAAGCCGCGTTACCTCGCCAACATTTGAGGGCCGTGCATTCGCAAAGTACAGGCCCCCGTGCCGCGAGATTACGGCCGCACCACGGCTCGCGGCTCGGCCTATCCGTCGCCCGAGGCTTTCGCCCGCTTTTTTCTATACTTTTCACACAACGAACCTTATAATACGCTCCGTTTTCGCCGCATACTTCGACTGTGAGATCCTCCATCTTGCTTTTGTGTGACGGTTCGGTTCCTTTACTGCAGGCATGCTGAAGAGCGGGCGCCCGCACGAGTTCAGGGCTGCGAATTTCCCGTGCGCCAATCGCGCGACTCTTTTCCATGACGCCGAGGCAGTATTGGACAGTACCGGACGACAGTATCGATACGCACGGCAGGGCTGTCAACTGCCGTAACCATAGATGTCGCGCGCAACAGAAAACCCTAGCTGGCACACACATTCTCTCCTTTTTTCACGGTGGAAAAATGAATTACAAACCTTTTTCAATTTTCAATTGCACTTGATACGCGAACTTGATAGGAGAGTTGTTTAAAGATACGTCCAATTGTCAGTATGTCCTGGTATGTCCGTCATGTTTGTGGTCCAACCAATAGTATTTTGCTAGTAGTCACTACGAGTGACCAACCGCGTTTGTTTGTAGATATACTCGTACCCAGTTACCCACTCGTGGGCGTTTGCGAGCCACTGTAACCTGGTCACCTGGTGTCGGTGTAGAGATCGGAGTTACTTTGATGACTTTGAGCTGCAAGTCGAAACATGATCGCTCCTACTTAGCTCCGACTCCGATGCGTTCGCGTATCACTCCCTGACGACATGTCGGGTAGCAGCGACTCTGACGAGTTTTTCGACGCGGAGGACGATTCGTTTCATCGCGCCTCACGGTAATCGTCACCTCCGTACCCTTCATCGAGAGACATCGGTCTCGTCGCTGCGCGCGATTATGTCACCACTCGTAAAATGATTGTCATCTCGACGTTGAAGCCGCTCAAAAGAGGTAATTTTTAATTGGATTAAATGTTCATTTTCCCGTAGAAAAGGTAAACAGCGCGATTCTGTCAGTGGCGAAAATCATGCCGCGAAAACACTACAAGTTTGCAAGGAGGATGTCTTTGTAAAGCCTGCCGAGCCAAAGTCGATTGTTGAACCAAAAGGTCGCGTGTCTGCGGACTGCGGGCAAAGTAAAGAAAAACTCGTGAGTATTTCACAGTGGTATTTGTGTAATAGTGAAAAATTAATGAATATAAAACATAAAATATCTTAGGACGAGGATGGCACCACGGACAAAATTGTAGGCAGGAGAAGATTCCGCGAGCTTCGACAACGCATGCAAACGGAGGATGACGATATTCCGATTAACAGCTCTCCCCCCGATAGTCAAACATCTTCCATCGAGGGTGTTTATCCTACTCCTTCAAAAACGAGCCATCCATTCAGAATTATAGAGCACGACACTCTTAGCTTACAAAGTATGACCTCTTTAGGGCGAGTGGGCCGAATTCTGGCGGGAGTCGCAGATAATGCTTCTGGCGTACTCGTATCTGGTATATCCCAGTGCCCTCCTCCTGCCGCCCTTACCCGCGAGGGGTCCTCTGTTGCTAACATTTCGAGCAAAGACGAGGACGCAACCTCTGGCAAGGTGTCCCAGTCTTCCAGCATCCTCACGTTGTCAGGGGATGCCCTGCAGGAATCCTCTGTTAACGGTAGATCCGATTATGCTTCTCACTCGCAAGGTGACAAGACTGTTATGCTTCAAGAACCCGATGTTATCGCTAGTACAAAGAATAATGGGAAATCGGTGGAGGATGTTGCGATGCCTGGTGTACCCGTAGCTCCGCCGCGTCGTAAAAAGAAAACAAAGACAAGTGCGTCGGGCGACCTCGCGGTAAGATTCATCGCGAGATTTATTCATATTCTGTCGGTAGCGTTAGATCTGTCTAATTGACGCAATTGATGATTTCAGCCTTCTGTAGAGGCTGCGCTTGTTCCCGCGTCACCGCTTCCAAGTCCTGCTAGTACTATAGAATCGATAACTCGAGAATTCGAGCACTCTCTCGATATCCGATCTGCGACGAAAGGCCAGTACGTCGTTAAGCCGCAGGTAAATGCTCCTCCCTTCAGACAAGAGACTCGGCTCTTCTGCAACGTCTCCCCATCCAGATACACGATATTTCTTCTTTTGTTTAGGATGAAGACAAGTTGAAAGCAGAAGGTCCGTCTACCGAGGAACTAGAAAGGGTCGAGAGGATGAAGGCAGAGCTGCTTAGTCGATCGAGCGAAAAGTCTAGTAGTCCGTTAGGCTCGGCGTCGAGCAACAGCATCGGCCGTTACTCTCTAGGCCCGCATAAGCTTCCGGGCGTGAGCCCGCAAGGTTCGAAAGAAAGACGTAAATCTGCCGGCGATCAAGATATGGTCAAGCAATTGAATATGTTTGTGAGGACTAGGACGGATTCTGGCAAGCGTCTTACCGATATGGAAATTCTGGAACAAGTGCCTGTAACGAATTTAGATACGGGGGAGCAGGTGCCATTAAGTATAGCGGAGGATAAATTACCGCAATGCATCAATCCGTTGTCATTACATATTATGAGACTCACGAAATCTAAATACATAAGCAACTCTAGTCTGGAGAAGGAGAAGGAGAGCGACGAGGAGAGTGTAGATAGCAAAATGTCTAGTATACCCCCGGACGAAGATGTATCCGTAGACAGAGTTCGTAAGCGGACGCAAAAGCTGAAGCGATTTTTAGGCTCGACTGTGAAAAAGACCATGGACAAGGCCAAGTCTATCGCGCAAGAGGTTTCGCACGCAAGGCACAAAGAGGACGTCATGGACATAGTCGACGAAGTCTATCCTGGTGAGCAGCAATACATAAAGTTGAAGGCATCCAACAGTCACAAGGGCCCGTACGAGTTCAGTTGTCTGCAGCACGTTCAAGATCTCAGCGGGGAACACGTAGGGCCCGTCTGGTGCATGAAGTTCTCAGCCTGCGGCCGGCTGTTGGCCACTGCGGGACAAGATCGCGTCCTAAGGATCTGGGTCCTACGGGACGCTTTCACATACTTTCAGGACATGCGAACCAAATATAACGCGGAGAAAGTCAGTCCTACTCCTTCGCAGGAATCTTTGGTCTCGCAGCAATCCATGGAAGATCCTAACGTCGTGGCTAGTGCCTTCAGCGAGATAGAAGGGACGAAAAGCCCGTTCATGCCAAAGCCCTTTTGCACCTATACCGGCCACACCTCGGACCTGCTTGACGTCTCGTGGTCCAAGAACTATTTCGTTTTATCCTCCTCGATGGACAAAACTGTACGGCTTTGGCATATATCTCGCAAGGAATGCCTATGTTGCTTCCAGCACATTGACTTTGTCACCGCCATAGTATTCCATCCACGGGACGACCGATACTTCCTCTCGGGATCGCTCGACGGCAAGTTACGCCTGTGGAATATTCCTGATAAAAAGGTCGCGGTATGGAACGAAGTGGACGGGTCAACAAAGTTGATTACCGCGGCCAACTTTTGTCAGAACGGGAAATTCGCGGTTGTCGGCTCGTACGACGGTCGTTGCATATTTTACAATACCGATCAATTGAAGTACCATACTCAGATACACGTCCGATCAACCAGGGGGAAAAATTCCACCGGTCGTAAGATCAGTGGAATCGAGCCTATGCCAGGGGAAGACAAGATATTGGTCACGTCCAACGACAGTCGCATTCGTCTCTACGATCTGAGAGACTTGAATCTCTCTTGCAAATACAAGGGATACGTTAACGTCAGTAGTCAGATTAAAGCGAGTTTCAGCCCAGATGGACAGTATATAGTTAGCGGCTCGGAAAATCAGTGCATTTATATCTGGAAGACCCATCATGATTATTCCAAATTTTCGAGCGTTCGTAGGGATCGAAATGATTTCTGGGAGGGCATAAAGGCGCACAATGCCGTAGTAACGTGTGCCGTATTCGCACCGAATCCAGACAGTATTATCAAGCAAATCGAGGCGAGAGAACAATGGGAAAGCAAGGAGGAGCAGAAAGGCATGGATAGCTCCAATATGAGTGTCGTTCCCGTCGATCCTGTCGTCGAGCAACGCACCAAAGGCTGCGGAGGCCACGTTCTCGTGAGCGCTGATTTCAATGGGTGTATAAAGGTTTTTTTAAACAAAACAAAACCGAAACACAGCTCCTTACCGGCATCTGCGCTCGCATAACGTTATCTACGTACCTAGCAGTAATCAAGAAAATAACGTGAGAATGCGCTCTCTTATCTCCTCTCGTCTATAGGCTTCAACGAGAGATGCTTCAACCAGAATCGCGTACAACCAGTTTCTTTAACGGTATCTTTACCGTCAGATACAAGCGCTATTTTATTCTTGTGTGCGCGTGTATAAATAGTTTTAAGCGATTACATATATATATGTATATACATATATACATATATATTCTTGATATCGTGCTTAAACGTTTAAGTTAAAAAAAGGAAAAAAAACGGATAACTGTCAATTCCAAATGATACGCTTTAATGGGGATAGTGTAAATTTTACTGAAAAAGTTTCTATTGCGTCAGGTGAAACAAATTTTCTCTACTTTTATATTTCGAATGTTTTCTTTTCGCCAACGGCTGTCTAAAAGTTTATCCTTTTCGTTTGCTTTCTATTGTATTATATCGTACGACTCTACAGTGCTGGTCCACTGTAGCAGGATGAAAAGAAAAAGAGATCAAGTTACTAATATTCCACAAGAGATTTATCAAAATTAAGTCATAGGAAGATAGCGACAAGTCTTTAGTGACACGTCACAAATTTCAAATTGTTCCCATACACTGTACGTACGGTAAAGACACGATGAAGATAAGAGCACCCTGGTGAGAAAACCAAGTATAAAAGGGTATTAAAAACGGTATTATTTATCATTAAATAGGGATTGTGCTACTTTTTACAAATATCGAATCAGATTTTGCAAAATCCTAATGCTTTTTGAATCGCAACGTTCTTGTCGAATGTAATAGTTGTAAGATAGCACATATAAGTAACACATCGAAGACAATATCAAAGATGTTTTAAAATTAAAATATATCATGGTTGCGTTTTTTTGTACGAAAGTCCTACATATTTTAGAAAGTGTAATAAAGCGAAAATTTGAGGTAACGCATATACGAGGCGCGCTACAATTGGACTTTGTGCTATATACATATGCGTCAGTTCTCACGATTAAGCGTGCATATGTTTATACCTCGTGTACATATTTTATGTGAAATTGTCATATGCTCGCGATACTCGCTGATTTAGAGTTTAATGTCGTAGGATACGCTATGTTGGATTAATATCGATGCAAAACATGCACTTTCGCGTTCTGTCAATTGTAAGAACGGAAATTATTGTATATATATATATATATATATATATATATATATATATGCGTGAAAGGACAGCGTTCGGCCTTTGTTTGAGATTATATGCGGGACACTTGTCTTTCTTTTTTCGCAATGCATAGCTATTGTATGTAATTTGGAAACACATGTATAACCATTGAGACGTAATATTCGAATTGGAACTAAATAGTCACAAAATTGTGAAAAGTTACGAGTATGGTACGAGATTTACAAGCAGTGTAAGATATGTTTCAATTGTATCGTCATTACAATGTAAATATGCAGGGAAGAATTGTAATTATTATTTTGTGTAAATGCAATTGTAAATATAATAGTCCGTCGATTTCGTTGTCGATACGGAAATACATATGTATATCTGACAGACCAAATTTGAATTAAAATCCAAGAAATTCGTTGGTAAGTATTTAATTAAAATTATTTTAGATTTTATAGTGACAATACATTTAATCGACGTGTTTTTATGTGAAAACAAGGGTTTGCAAAGCAATGGTAAACCTATCATACCGATAGAATTAGTGATAGGGATATTTATTTACACAGCGTCGGAGAAATGTTACGGCCAGAGAGAAACCTGAGTGTGTCGTTATATAAAGCGCGGAAACATGTCGATCAAGTTAGCATATCATTTCCCAGCAGATCAAAAATAAAAGGAACATCTTGTCGCATGTAGTCGACTTCTATAGTTGCTGATACATTTTAATAATAATTCTGGTGATTTAAACAAAAAAATAGTCGATGAAAAATCTGCTAACGTCCCGTAGCATATCATTTTCTAGCAGATCAAAAATAAAAGAGAGTTCTATAATTACGGATACTTTTTAGTAATAGTTCTGGTAATTTTATGAAAAAATAGTCTATCGCAAAAATGATTTCCTTACGTATCTGTGCGCGCAACTCCCGTTGCCTTCTGAACCAAGTTCGCAGGCGACGGCCAGAGAGCAACGCAATGTGATTAAATTTGTATCGCCGGACCGAGCTCCGACTGGTGCTCCGAAAACGTTAAGGACAGCCCTGGCGAAAATTTTAAGTGACAGATGATGTTTATATCATTTATGAAGAGTTAAATTTGATCGATAGTTACATTGTTTATGAAGAGTTTTATTGATGATTACACCATATATTTGGAAGTATGTTGCAAACACCTGGTTAATTCTTTGCTGACAATAACATTTTACAAACACTTAGAAAACTATAATGGAAACGTTTGACATTATCATTAAACGCAATTTGAACATTTGTAACCTTAAATGTGTTATAAACAACTCCATGTTTAAATTTATATCTCACAAACAATTCAATAAATGTTTTAAAACTCAAATAAAACATTGACTCAACATTTAAACAAACTTCTTACAAACATATATTACTTTCGCCAGGGAGACGTGACGGGCAGAATTGCGTATTGTTCACACAACAGTCAATTTATTGACAAAATACACCGAAACTCGATATTCTTAATGTTCGCGATCAATCTCGTGATCACACGGAGTAGACGAGAGAAGCACTTTGGAGAACCTATTTGAAGTTGAGCTGCGCTCATTTCGCGGTCACACGCGCGAAGGCAGTCAAAAAGAAAATATTAAGATCGTATGAGAGCGAGATGTCACAAGCGCGATGCGAATTGATATTTCGCAGTCACGAGCTTCGGAGCGTTCCGCAATACTTGACTCTTAACTAAGTCTGTTAATTGTGCTGTCTCCTAATTGCTGTGTCTCAAGAGCAACTGACTCCGGTTCAAATCTCTTTCTTTGTCGTCGCTCTCATACGGTCCTAATGTCGAGGGTAAATTTAATTGTTTTTAGTGCGAACCGCGCGGTTGTAGTCAGTAGATTCCATTGCGACGATGAGATAGTCGGACGTGTTCCTTTGACCGTTACCTAGCCGATGATGCCATCGATTTGTATTTATTTGTTCGTTCGGGTAGTTACCACGACCAGTATCGCACATATTTGTTGGGCTATTTGCTACGACAATTCTCGCATATATTTGTTGGCCTATCAGCCACGACAAATCTCGCACAGTATCGTAATACAGCTA